GTATAACAAAATATTTATACAAATAACTCTATTTCCACATCAGAAGACGAAGTTTCAACAATAACAGTGGTGCACTGGCTACACAATGAGACAAAGATGGCGCCTGATGCTCTTGTTGTGGGTTGTGGTACAACAATATTCATGCGCCAGGCGAAATAGTCCAGTATTCATCCGCGTTCGTTGTAGGAGTTGCGTTCGTTATAGCATTCTCAATTTTATAGGTAAAACTGTTCGTTATAGGAATATTCGTAGTAGGATCCGTTTGTTATAGTATACCCCACTGTATTTTATCTTTTGTGCAAAATATATGAAGTTTACATTCAAAATATTCCCTGACCTGAAAGGAATCCAGAAATGTCAATTATATTATCCTAACTTTAGTCTGAGGTATTATTTATTACTAAAAGTTAAAAATCTAGTTTTTTCACCCAAACATTTCTCTGGTAGGGAGGGAAGGTGGGGGGTGGGGGGAGGGTTGGGACCTACCGATCCAGGTGGCGTGAGTGTGAGGAGGGGGGGAGGCAAGGTGGGGTACTTTGATTGACAGATAGTGTCGTGAAGAATATTTTTTTTTTTTATTACCCGAAGATATTTGTTTTAGCTCATAAAATTCATACAAATTACTCGGCCAGAATATAATTTACATTGCTGGAATTCTTACAATATGATGATCATTTTGAATATAAACATCATGGATTTTGCATTAGACATACAAATTTTAGATCTAATGTAAGAATTTGGTTTACACAAAGCAAATATTTTATCTTTTGTGCAAAATATATGAAGTTTACATTCAAAATATTCCCTGACCTGCAAGGAATCCAGAAATGTCAATTATATTATCCTAACTTTTGTCTGAGGTATTATTTATTACTAAACGTTAAAATCTAGTGGTTTCACCCAAACATTACTCAGAGAGGTAGGAGCTAGTGAGCTGGGAAGAGGGGGGGGGGGATTTGAGTCCATTATTTGAATGGACATTAACCTGGCGATTGTATTTCTCTTAAATATTAATTGTGTGAGCATACCATCATAAAATTTAGATGTTATTTTTACTACAACATAGGTATTGTGTCGGAAAAAGTGGAGTTTGGGGGGAGTTTAGGGGTCGGGCCAGTCTCTATTGGAATTAATCCCATATGTTCTGTTGTTCACTTTATCCTTTTTTCACTTTCCGCGGTACCCTGTGGGTTCAATTGACCGGGTACTACTGTACTCGCTCCCTCGGTACATGCACGTGATCTATTAACTCAGATTAAAGTAAGTTTTCCAATTTTTTTTTTTACTTTGTGACACCAAATACTAGTCGAGAAGTAATTGGCAGTCCGATTTATTCATGTACGACCATTATTTGACTTAATTGCGGCTACATTTGGGTAATTACTTGGACCGTGCCTGGGTAGTACCTAGCACTCGTTACCTGGCATATTTGGACTTATTAAAATATGAAATCTAGGCTAATAAGTAATTATACTAAGGAAATAATTATTTTGGTAGTGCTGGACGGTTATTAATTGCGCTCATTACGAAAATTGGGTCGATATTAATTCTGATAAAGGACGTCCATCGACCATCACGGATGGACCAGTTTGGATTCACCTGGCATTGGTTACCCGGCATATTTAGACTTATTAAAGTGTGAAATTTATGCTACAAAGTATTTATACTAAGGAAATAATTATTTTGGTAGTGCTGGACTGTTATTAATTGCCCTCATTACGAAAATTGGGTCGATATTAATTCTGATAAAGGACGTTATTCACCATCCCAGAGGAAACTGTTCTCACCACTCTTCAAATAAACTATTTACGACTTTTTTTTTGTTTAATTTGATTTCAATACATTTCTACACATAAATTAGTTGTATTAGTTATCTTAAAAGCTTACCTTTAATGATGGTTAGGCGAATTTGGAGGATATAAACGGCGATGAGACAAGTAGAGCTGGCGGCATTTTCGTACACAAACATGACCGCTTTTAAAAAGAACAATACAATTCTGCATGTGCTGTTCTATATGGAGTATATCGTATAATAAATATTATTCCTTTGCAGATTTATACATTTTATGTCCATCCAAATCAATTTTCTTTCTTTTGGTTTCAAAAATACTTCCTTCGTAGTGATCATCGAAATTTCCCCATGTTCCAATAACGAATCGTACATATTTTTCTTTTTTTTTAGCCAAAAACGCTTCTTGCATAACAACCATGGGAGTACTACAGCATGGTATACACCACGGCTAATCTTGCATATGGGCCTTACATACGCGCAGTCTCGCTTTTTTTTTTTACCATTAATGGTTAGCTACTTACATTGTTCCATTTATTAATATTAAATAACATTACAGGTACTTCAAACAACCATATTAATTTTTTTACATTAATTTTACTACAGCTACAATCAGGGTCTTATTTTCTTCAGTTTTATATGTAGAACCAATCAGTCACTGGTTTTGTAAGCTTTAACATAAACAATGCCGGCAGCCGTCTCGTCTCCTCGTGTGTTTTAATCTTCCACGTATTATTAATAAATTGTATTGTTAATTTTGCACACACAAACATTAATTCAATAAAAACAAATTCAGAAACATTAATTAAAATATATATGAACAGTAAATAAGTGTTGCTTTCATATTCTTATGTAAAGTAATGACGATATGTTTTCACGTGTGCGCACTTACATACGCGATCTCTCTTTTTTTCTTTACCATTATCGTTAGCTACTTCTATTGTTCCATTTATTAACATTAAATAACATTACTTAAAACAACCATATTAATTTTACTACAGCTACAACCAAGGTCTTATTTTCTTCAGTTTTATATGTAGAACCAGTCAGTCACTGGTTTTGTAATCAACGAAAACAATGCTGTCTCATTTCCTAGTGTTTTAATATTCTACGTATTATTAATGAATTGTATTGCTCATTTTGCACACACAAACATTAATTCAATCAAAAAGACTTTCAGTAATTAACAATAATGAATCTTTTGTGCATAAGAGAAATGACGCTGTTTACACGATTGTGCAGATCGTCTGAACGTTGGTGGGCCGTTCAAACCCGTCGAAATTCGAGTTTCCGCTGTCAAAATTTTTAAATGTGTTGTTTTTTTGTGTTCAAATAGAAAACGTCGAATTAAAATCACGCAAAATTTGAGAAGCTACTGTACGACATTTAACCCTTCAATATGTCTTCAAAGAGACCATGAAGCAGAGAAAGTGGTGCTAGTGCTTCCAAGCCAAGTCACTATCTATCCAGGAAAAGGGTGAATTTCCATGGTCCGGCCTCGGTCAGGTCCTGAGGTTGCCGGACTAGAGAGGTACAACTTGTACCATATACAATATGTTAGGGTAGGGGATGGACAAAACAGACCTTATACAGGTTGTACCTCTCTAGTCCGGCATTCTGTGTTCCGGAAACTCCCGTGGTCCAGAACGATTTTAGTTTGCCCATGGAGAAAATTAATTTGAGTCTGGTACTTTCGATGCTTGGCTAAATTTTGCCTTATTTACCCTACCTTTTTGGTGAATTACTACCTGTAATAAAGCAACATCCTAATAAACCAACAAAAATAACAGAGATAAAATTAAATAAAAACTAAAAACAACACAGAAAAGTTCTTATGTTCTACAGCTTCAGCTAGAGTTGAGCATACGTCATCCGAGTAAAAACACACACAACAACATTGGCTGTCCTTATGTTTTCAACTTTACCATCACTGGTGGGTAGAATTTTTGTTTTAAATTTAGAAACATTAATTAAAATATATATGAGCAGTAAATAAGTGTTTCATTCATATTCTTATGTATAGTAATGACGATATGTTTTCACATGTGCGTACTTACATATGTTATCTCACTTTTTTTCTTTACCATTAATGGTTAGCTACTTATATTGTTCCATTAACATTAAATAACATTACTTAAACAACCATATTAATTTTTTACATTAATTTTACTACAGCTACAACCAAGGTCTTATTTTCTTCAGTTTTATATGTAGATCCAGTCAGTCACTGGTTTTGTAATCAACGAAAACAATCTCGTCTCGTTTCCTGGTGTGTTTTAATATTCTACATATTATTAATGAATTGTGTTGTTCATTTTGCACACATAAAAATTAATTAAATCAAAAAGACATTCAGTAATAAACAATAATGAATCTTTTGTACATAAGAGAAATGACACTGTTTACACGATTTGTGCACATCTGAACATTGGCGGGCCGCTCAAACCCGTCAAAATTCGAGTTTCCACCATCAAAATTTTAAATTGCGTAGTGTTTTTTTTTTTGTCCAAATAAAAAACAATGAATTTAAATCTCCCAAAATTTGAGAACCTACTGTACAACATTTAACCCTTCAATATATCTTCAAAGAGACCACGAAGCAGTGAAAGTGGTGCTAGTGCTTCCAAGCGTAAGCACAAATAACTATCTATCCAGGAAAAGGGTGAATTTCCATGATCCGGAAATTTCCATGGTCCAGCACCGGTCAGGTCCCGAGGTTGGCGGACTAGAGAGGTACAACCTGTATTTTGTTCATGATTGTGCATCAACAAGAAGATTAGCTTGCTGATTTAATGAACACAGCTGCAGAATGAGAAAGTACAATTCAGCATTTGTAACATGCTACGACTATTCCTATAACGAACGGTTTTACCTATAAAATTGAGAATGCTATAACGAACGAAACTCCTACAACGATATTTTTTTTTTTTTTTTTTTTTTACACTAATTTATTGTTTTTTTTATTACAAGTATTAATGATATTCTTTATTTCAGGGGTTTAGATGCATATTTATGCACTTTTTTAAAATTTTTACAATTTTATATTATATTTTTCAGTGCTAAGTGGTTGTATTTGGGGGCCTGGAACGGATTAATCCTATAACGAACGAATGCTATGACGAACAAGGTTCTAGAACCAATTAGATTCGTTATAGCATACCCCACATATATAGAAATATATGTACATATAATATTATTTCTGTTTTTACAGATGGTAATATTACTTTACGTGGAATGGAAGATTTGGCTGATGGCAAAGATAAACCTCCAGTTGCTTCTGTCAGCTCAGTACAGGTAAATCCTTCCAGTGATGTTTAGTACTTGTACAATATTATTTAACCCTTTAGGTGCGTAATTAAATTTCGCGCCGGTTCCTGAAAAGTGTCAATTATCCTGCCAAAAATGAATTTCATATAATCACATTTTCTATATGTTTTTCCTAGAGAACTTTTAGTATATTTTCCAAATCTGGAACAAAAATTCACATATGTGTGCAAATTTTAGAGAAAAAATGACATTTATACCCAAAAATGCAGGAAATTGGTATAAATCAATGTCTGGTATATGGCAAATAAATTTAATCAATTTGGTTACTAAACAGCAAATTTAGATATGTATTACATATTCAGATAATATCAAACAAAATAGTACAAAAATAAGCTATATTGCATTCAGGAAATACTCCTATACCTCAATACATAATATGTCCGCATGTCGTCTCATTTGGGGAAGTTTTTTCAAGGCCGTGGGATATCCCCGCTTGTCGCATTTAATTAATATAATATTTTGGGCGGGTTTACCCGCATGTCGCATCCAAAGGGTTAAACTGTTTACTTTCCAGATTTTATGGTTCAGCAGACTAACTGGAAAAGAACTGCAGGATTGATCCTGAAATTCCATTACCATGTAGCGTAATGTATGTGGCGCAGTAGTCAAAGTTCTCTTTCTTATGTGTCAGTTTTCTTTTTCTTAGGATCACATACACACATACATAAAGGAGATCTCGCACTCAGTATCGAGGTGAGAAAGGAAACTCGCAATATCGTTTTCTCTACGTATATTGTATGTGCAGTGAAGTAAGATACTGGGGAGTTGCTGTGTTGTAGAGGAGCTTGTTGAGAGGATGTCTTGTCGGTTTGAGAGCTTGGAGTAGAATGACCTTCACGGCGAGGCAGGGGAGTATTTATACAATCCTGCATACTCAAAATTCGAGTTGCGAGATGAAAGGTGCCGCTGATTGGCTGAGGCAAGGGCGGCAGCTGGCCAATCAGCGAACGACTCGGGGGCAGAAGCTGTGGTCTGGAACTCGCTGCTGATTGGCTGAGGAGAGGACGGTAGGTGGCCAATCAGCAAACGGTTCAGGAGCGGAGGCTGTGGTATGGAACTGGCTGCTGATTGGCTGAGGTGAGGACAGTGGAGTGGTTGTAGTGAGAGTAAATCACTACAATACTCCCCCTCCCCTCCGGGTGCTGCAGGAAACCTGTTGTAGGCAGGATCGTATCCCACTTGCGAGGCATAGCGGACTTGGGTGTGAACTACTAGGCCGTTACGAGTGATGACTCCGTCGAATGGGATGTCTGGGTCCACAGGGCCAGATGCAGGATCCTCATCAGGAGCAGGGTCAGGAGCAGTCGGTACCTGAGGAAGAAAAGAGGGCGCCCGGAAATGTTGTGGACGAGGTGGTGCTGGAGGCGGCAATGGTGGCCAGACTGGTGAAGGCGTTGTTTGCCGGGGGTAATGCTTGGCCGGGGTCCCATTGGGTAAGGTGGCTGATTTCACTCAATCGATACTGACGGTGTCATGTCTGCCATTGCAATCGATCGTCAGGAACTTCACTGACCGTGCAAGCACCGGGAAGGGTCCGCCGTAGGGATGTTGAAGTGGGTTGTTGTGAGCATCGTGCCTGAGGAAGACATACTCGGCGTTGAGTAGTGCAGGAGGGATGTGTTAAATGCGATGGGAAGGCTGGCATGGGGCAGTAGCCTTTAGTGCAGAAACTGCCTATCGCAGTATTTGCAGGGAGCCTCACAACGTCTAGCCTTCCCATCGCCCTGAACACATCCCTCCTGCACTACTCAACGCCGAGTATGTTGATGGGGGTTCGCTGAGGGTGAGATCCGCTTGGCTGCAGTCCATGTCCTCTTTGTGTGATGCGCGGATGCCAAGGAGCACAAAGGGTAGAGCATCCGTCCAGCTGTAGGGGTCGTGCTGTGCCTTGATGGCGTCCTTCAGCTGACGATGAAGCCACTGTACCATGCCGTTGGACTGAGGGTGATAAGCACTAGTGCGGTGTCTGGTAGTGCCGAGGAACTGCAGGAGACTATGCCAGAGTTGTGACTCAAACTGGACTCCTCGGTCAGTGATGGTGGTGGGTAGTTCGAGATAGTGGTTGTAGGTGTCACGGGAGTGTGGTGGTGGCGGCTAGTGGTCATGGGAGTGTGTTGGTGGTAGAGGTAGTGGTGATAGTGGTGGTGTTCATGGGAGTGTGGTGGTGTGAGGTAGTGGTGCTGGTGGTCATGGGAGTGTGGTGGTGTGAGGTAGTGGTGCTGGTGGTCATGGGGTGGTGGTGTGAGTGGTGCTGGTGGTCATAGGAGTGTGGTCCTCTGGTGGTCTGTGGGTGGTGTGGTGTGTGTGGAGGTGTGGTGGTGTGGAGGTAGTGGTGGCGGTGGTCATGGGGTGTGGTGGTGTGAGGTAGGTCATGGTGGTGGTGGCTGGTGGTCATGGGAGTGTGGTGGTGTGAGGTGTAGTGGTGGTCATGGGGTGTGGTGGTGTGAGGTAATGGTGGCTGGCTGGTCATGGGAGTGTGGTGGTGTGAGGTAGTGGTGGCTGGCTGGTCATGGGAGTGTGGTGGTGTGAGGTGTGGTGGCTGGCTGGTCATGGGATTGTGGTGGTGTGAGGTAGTGGTGGCTGGCTGGTCATGGGAGTGTGGTGGTGTGAGTTAGTGGTGGCTGGTGGTCATGGGAGTGTGGTGGTGATAGGTGGTCATGGGTGTGGTGGTGTGAATGGTGGCTGGCTGGTCATGGGAGTGTGGTGGTGTGAGGTAGTGGTGCTAGTGGTCATGGAGTGTGGTGGTGTGAGGTAGTGGTGGCTGGCTGGTCATGGAAGGTGGTGGTGAGGTGGTGGTGGCTGGCTGGTCATGGGTGGTGGTGTGGGTAGTGGTGCTGGTGGTCATGGGAGTGGTGGTGTGAGGTAGTGGTGGATGGCTGGTCATGGGAGTGTGTTGGTGTGAGTTAGTGGTGGCTGGTGGTCATGGGAGTGTGGTGGTGTGGAGGTAGTGGTGGCTGGCTGGTCATGGGAGTGTGGTGGTGTGAGTTAGTGGTGGCTGGTGGTCATGGGAGTGTGGTGGTGTGTTAGTGGTGGCTGGCTGGTCATGGGGTGGTGGTGTGAGTTAGTGGTGGCTGGTGGTCATGGGAGTGTGGTGGTGATAGTGGTGGTCATGGGGTGTGGTGTGTGAGGAATGGTGGCTTGGTCATGGGATTGTGGTGGTGTGAGGTAGTGGTGCTAGTGGTCATGGGAGTGTGGTGGTGTGGAGGTAGTGGTGGCTGGCTGGTCATGGGGTGTGTTGGTGTGGGGTGGTAGGTGGTCATGGGAGTGTGGTGTGAGGTAGGGTGGCTGGCTGGTCATGGGGTGTGGTGGGTGGTGTGGTAGAGTGTGAGGAGGTAGTGGCTGGCTCATGGGAGTGTGGTGGTGTGAGTTAGTGGTGGTAGTGGTCATGGGAGTGTGGTGGTGGAGGCATGGTGGTGGTGGTCATGGGAGTGTGGTGGTGTGAGGTAGTGGTGGCTGGCTGGTCATGGGGTGTGGTGGTGTGAGTGGTGGCTGTGTAGGTGTGGTGGCTGGCTGGTCATGGGGTGTGGTGGTGTGAGTAGTGGTGCTGTGGTGGGAGTGTGGTGGTGTGGAGTGGTGCTGGCTGGTCATGGGAGTGTGGTGGTGTGAGGTAGTGGTGGCTGGCTGGTCATGGGAGTGTGGTGGTGTGAGTTAGTGGTGGTATGTGTGGTGGTGGGAGTGTAGTGGTGGCTGGCTGGTCATGGGTGTGGTGGTGTGAGGTGGCTGGCTGGTCATGGGAGTGTGGTGGTGTGAGGTAGTGGTGCTATGTGGTGAGTGGGGTGTGGTGGTAGGTGGTCATGGGGTGTGGTGGTGTGAGGTAGTGGTGGCTGGCTGGTCTGGGGTGTGGTGGTGTGAGTTAGTGGTGGTAGGTGGTCATGGGAGTGTGGTGGTGTGGGGTAATGGTGGCTGGTGGTGATGGGAGTGTGGTGGTGGTGGTGGTGTGAGGTTGGTGGCTGATGGTCATGTGGTGGTGGTGAGTTAGTGGTGGTAGGTGGTCGGGGTGTGGTGGTGTGAGGTTGTGGTGGCTGATGGTCATGGGAGTGTGGTGGTGGTGAGTGTTGTTTGTGGTTGGTGATGAGTATTGTTGTTGTTGGTGGTGGTGGTGATGACGATGGTGAAGTGACCCACATGTGTGCATACTGTGAGTTGGTTATTGTTAATTTTCAACTCATACTTTCAGGTACTGTAGATGTAAGTAATTTTTTTTTTTTTTTTTTTTACTCTGTTACATTCACACACATTCTTCATACATAATGTGAAAAAAAGAAGGAAAGAAATGATTATCATAAGCTCATAAACATAATGAAACACTTCTTACTACCACTGGAGTCGCCTAGATTGTGTGAGCAGAGGGGGAGATCTCAGCCGCTCCTGTTTCATATTCCTGATGAAACTATAGCCATCTGGCAATGCAGTACTTTTTATTCTTTTATTATATTTATTTGTATAATTTTTATTTATTCCTGACATTACTGCTACTACAGTATACACACAACCTTGGTCCCTAACACCCTTGGATAATGAGGAGTATATATCAAAATTAAATTTGCCCACTGGGAATGCATCTCCCCGTCATAATATTGGTTTGATTGTTTGTGTGAAATCGTACATGTAATTTACATCCAATTATCTCGGTCTTGTTTTGCTTTGTTCCTGTGCTGTGTTATGAGTTGAATAAAACCTTGGTTATCGAAGGTTCTTATGCTTTATCGCTACATTAATTCTTATGGGGAAAATTGCCCCGATTTTGGCAGTTTCTTTAATCGCAATGACTTTTAGGAAGGCATCCCTTGTATTAACCGGGGAAATTCTTGTACCCTGTGCTAACTTTTTGGGGGACTATAATTTATATCCTTCATCAGTTCAATTATTCTTATTTAAATACAGTGGTCCCTCGGTTAACGAACACAATTCGTTCCACAAAGTCGTTCGTTAACCGAAAATTTTGTTAACCGAATCCATTGTTTCAATGGGATATTGGGTAATTGGTTCCAGCTCATAGAAAAGTACATACAAAGTAAAAAAAATGCAGTAAAGTACATTTACTTTAAGTTGTGTATGTAGAATGTTCCTAGTTGGTGATGATGATGGGAATTAGAAGTGGGGGTGGAGGAGAAGGGAGAAGAGCAGGAAGTGGGGATGGAGGAGAAATCACCTTTCAGGGGACCCATGCTTGATGCAGTAATTTCACCAATAAAATTTTATGTTCACTAGGTGTAATTCAGGCTAATTTTATATAAATCATCACTGCACTGCGCTATATGTTATCAATATGTTAACTAAATTTCAAAATGACCAATAATTTTAATGTAAAAATTCAAAAATATTCAAGACACCAACAAAAGCTATGTTCACGCCACTGTAAACAAAGCCACACTGACTCCTGGTGGGTGAGTCAAGCGGCTGATGGGTGCACAAAAAACTAGTTCCCTGTACTGCGTATATTATCAATATGTTAACTAAATTTTAAAATTACTAATAATTTTAATATAAAAAATGCAAAAATATTAAAGAGCACAACTTTCTTGATATTTACTCCACTGGCAATGAATGTAAACATAGAACAGATTACTCAGTTGACAGACTAGCCCATCAGCTGATCAGCTGATGCTCACAGCAAAACGTGTTTGTCGTAAGGATTTCATTAATCGAAGTTTTGTTCATTAACCGAATTGAAGATCCTTTTGGGAGGTAATTCATTAACCGAAATTTCGTTAATTGAACCGTTCGTTAACCGAGGGACCACTGTATATAGTCTGATGTATCCATGTGTATTTTACTTATTAAAAACTGCCACCTTTGGGCTTCTGTTAGGTTTATTGTATACTACACTTCATTTAATTTACTTATTTCATTGGTCCTGTATGCACCTTTACCTATTGCTGGATATCCAGTAAATTGTTTTCCTATATACTTTATGATGCTAATATATAATTTTATCCAAATAGCTCTCTGTTTCTTATGTATTATTATTATTTTTTTATTAGATTACAACTGTCGGTGAATCTATCAACATGCCTCCAAAAGCATCGTTTAGTGAGCCAACCCTCTTTCGAAAGAAGCGAGGAGCTAAAAAGAAAGCCAAATGGTTGTGTGACATCTGTGGCAAAGGTTTTCTACACAAGGGAAGATATCTTTTACACACGTAAGTTCTTTAAGATATTTTAAGTGAGAATAATAAATTTTACTAGAATTTTTCCTCAATATTTCATGTTTTTTGTTTTTGTTTTTGTTTTTTTATTTGCCCCTGAGGGAGCTAGTTTATTGGCCACCCCCTTACATCCTGTGTAAAGTGGAGCGTTTACAGCGCCCATATGGGAAGCATGCGTAGTTCATGTTTGCCTTTATGACTCGTGCATTAAGGGTTCATTTAGCTCATGAATTTAAGATGAGCATTTATTTGTCAATTTATTCTAATTCACTACTGTAGGAACTCATTTGTCTGCATTCATTTCATTTAATTGCATGATTTACTTTGCGTATATATATATATATATATATATATATATATATATATATATATATATATATATATATATATATATATATATATATATATATATATATATATATATATATATATATATATATATATATATATATATATATATATATATATATATATATATATATATATATATATATATATATATATATATATATATATATATATATATATATATATATATATATATATATATATATATATATATATATATATATATATATATATATATATATATATATATATATATATATATATATATATATATATATATATATATATATATATATATATATATTTTTTGCTGAACACCTCGGTTACTTGTAATTTGATTGTGAACTGCCTTCCATAAGGATCTTCAATTCAGTTAACGAAAAAATTAGCTTGAACTACTTCACGAACCGACCTCAACATGTTTTGCTTGCACTTGGCCGGACAACCAGCTTTAGTATCAGTCCGTAATACATTAATGGGTTCTAGGGGCTTAAATTCCTTACTATTTTGTAAATATCAAGAAGTTTATACTATTCAATAATTTTTAAAGTTTAATATTCAATTTTTTTGGGCCATTTTAACAATTATTAGACAAAATTGAAGGTAAAGTGGCTAGTTTAATGCATGGCATCCAGCCTCTTAACACAGCAAAGCAGGCGTCAGTCTCTCTGTTTTCAGTGGAGGTATGCTTGAGACTCTCTTCAACTAACGCTTTTTCTGTGTTTCCAAACAATATTGGTCATTTGAAATATATTTTATATATTGACAATATATAATGCAGTGCAGCGTTGATTTAAAGAAAAAATCTTGAATTAAACCAGAGAGCTAAAATTTTATGGGTGAAATGGCACCATGGGGTGACTTCTCTTCCAGCCCAATGCCTTCTCTTCTTCCTTCTCCTCCATCCCCATTCTAAATCCCATCATCATCATCATCCAGGAGCCTTCTACATACACACCTCAAAGTAAGTGAACTTTTCATTTTTGTTGAATTTAGAGTTCCGGTGAGCTGGAACCAATTACCCAAAACCCATTGAAACAATGGTTTGATTAACAAACGTTTCATTGGTTATGAACGACTTTCTGGAGCAGTTGGGTTAAGTTAACGAGAACTAATATATATATATATATATATATATATATATATATATATATATATATATATATATATATATATATATATATATATATATATATATATATATATATATATATATATATATATATATATATATATATATATATATATATATATATATATATATATATATACAGTGAGTATGCTATATGACGGATCCTACTACGAATATTCCTATACGAATGGTTTTTACCTATAAAATTGAGGTCTTGAACGAAACTCCTACAACGAACATAATTTAAATTTTTTTTTTTCCTAATTTATTGTTTTATTATTACAAATATGATATTCTTTATTTCAGGGTTTTAGATGCATATTATGCACTTTTTTACAATTTTACAATTTTATATTATATTTTTTCGTGTTAAGTGGTTGTATTTGGGGCCTGGAACAGATTAATCCTATAACAGCGAATGCTATAACGAACAAGGTTCTAGAACAATTAGATTGATTATAGCATTCCCTATTTTTTTTTATATATATATATATACCTATATATATATATATATATATATATATATATATATATATATATATATATATATATATATATATATATATATATATATATATATATATATATATATATATAAGACGGAGGTTGGGGACCAAATCCAGGTCATTAAGTCCGACATGGTCGTAAGTCCGACATAGATAAAAAAAAAAAATTTTTTTTTTTTTTTAATAAAAATCTACAATGAAATACAGTACAGTAAAAAGTAATGAATAATGATGAATGGATACAGTACAGTGAAAGTAATAAATAATAAGGAATGGATACAGTGTGATGAGCATAACCTTTAATGTAGTCCATTAGATAATGCCCAGGGGCTTATAATTTTCTAATTATACATGGAGACTACATTAACTGGAGAAGTTTGGTATGGAAAATCGTGTGTCATTTTGAAAAAAAAAAAAATTATATCTATATCTGAGCGATTACGTGAAGTCGGTAATTAGAGTCATCCGCGTGGTCGTAGAGTCGAGGTCTAGATTGTATATATATATATATATATATATATATATATATATATATATATATATATATATATATATATATATATATATATATTGTAACGTCAATTTACTGGACTTGGGGTTTATTAAAGATTATAAGATGGTAATATGGTGGGCGCCTTTGAGAAAAATTCGAACCAACACACTTAAATCTACTAAACAAAATGAATTGTCCGTGACCGTGGAAGGATAGCGTCTGTGACTGGGATTAATGAGACACACTGTAAAATTGAACACTTATATTCCTCCAACATCAAACACAATCAAATAATGGGTACACCAATATGCACCTCTTAACTTCAACTTAAACACTACTCTGGGGAATAAAAGTTATACATGATATAAGGAAATTATTAGAAACTCAGGCAACAATAAATTTGAAGTATTAAGAACTGTTGCTTGCACACATGGAACAGGCCTTAGGGCTTTCACAAAATAATATCAGTCCTTAGGAAATGGTATTAAAAATAAGAAATTAAATACTCTACCATGAATAGGCCTTAAGGGCTTTCAACAAAAATATTATCAGTCACTGAGAAATGGTAATAAAAAATAAATTAAATACTCTACAATGAATAGGCCTTGGGGCACTCAACAAAATTATATCACCAACAGATGCACACTTCTAACCTAACTAAACACTACTCTGGGAACAAAGGTTATACCTGAGATCAGAATTATGAAGAAAAATTAGATGCATTAGAAGAATCAAATCACGGTATCACTCTGGTTCCACTTAATGACACAAACATTAAAAAACAATACTATCAAATTATTTAAGAAATATTAAACTACACGTCAAGATAATATCAGTAGCTGAGAAATGGTATTAACTACCCCCAAATATATTCACTATTATTAATATGTTACTGGGTCCCACAATACCCGTGAACCATGCTCCCCCAACTCAACATACCCTTGTAGGGAGATAAAATGTTCTCTAGGTATCTCCTAGAGTCCTAGACTCATGGTCTCAGTGTGTGACCATTAATTTACTCAGATAGCCTCAGTGTACTCCCAGTGCGTCCATAAAGCGGAAGGTAGGCAATCAGACCTTGTACAGTTGAGAAGCTTTGCTTCCCGTTATAAGAGGGTTTCACTAAGCTGCTAGAGACATGTGGTGTTGTGAGCGAGGTGAGAGAGCTGCTGACCCAACTATCGTCCAGTCGTCAGCTGGGCACCCAGACGACTAGATTCCTCAAGAGATCCTTTGATACCCGCTAAACAGTGACAGGCCTACACTGGTCGGTCCAATGGCGACAATCGCCACCCTCAATCATCAACGGCAGTCTCAAGCGGCAGTCAATCTCTACTTAGTCAAACTCCGGTCAACTCCGGTCAAGTGGGTTCTGGCGGAAACCATGAAATGAACTCACTGTTAGCTCTAGTTTACTTTACCACTGCCTATCTAACCCTGTCTGAGATCGAATGGGACTTACTTGTTATACTGCAATAGCACAGCACAGCACAGGTGACTAGGCCAGCGTGACTATTTCTGTGACGGACGCCAGAGGGGCGTCTTGTTTGTCTGAATGCTCACGTGACTGAGAGGACCAGCCAGCGTCACGTCTCCTCTCAAAGCGTTAGCTTAGGCTCACGTGACATATTTTCCGCCTAACTAAAAATTCCTGGAACACCCGTAACATTATTCAGACTGATAAACGAATCTATAATAATTTCAAATTCAATAATAGTCCCTTAACTTCATGAATCGCATCATTATTAATTGGCAAATTACATTTAATATCACTTAGGCCTAGTTCCACAACCTCTCGCTATGTAGGGGCGCCTTCCCTCAGGGCGAACTTGACGCTCAGTATAGCTAATGGCGGGCATTTGAAATTTCAATATTATATATATATATATATATATATATATATATATATATATATATATATATATATATATATATATATATATATATATATATATATATATATATATATATATATATATATATATATATATATATATATATATATATATATATATATATATATATATATATATATATATATATATATATATATATATATATATATATATATATATATATATATATATATATATATATATATATATATATATATATATATATATATATATATATTGACAGTGAGTATGCTATAACTAATCTAATTGGTTCTAGTTCCTTGTTCTTTATAGCATTAGATCAAGTATAGGATTAACTGTTCCTGTTCCAAATACAACCACTTAACACTGAAAAATATAATATAAAATTGTAAAATTGTAAAAAAGTGCATAAATATGCATCTAAACCCCTGAAATAAAGAATATCATTAATATTTGTAATAAAAACAATAAATTAGAAAAAAAAATTAAATAATGTTAGATGTAGGAGTTCCGTTAAGTTATATAGCATTCTCAATTTATAGGTAAAACCGTTAAGTTATAGGAAAATTGTAGTAGGATCCATTCGCTATAGCATACCCCACTGTGTATATATATATATATATATATATATATATATATATA